CACTCTTCTCCCCCTGCCCCGCCCTGATCTGAACATCCCCAACTGTGGGGAAGTTTATGCCCAAATCTTAATTTGTGCTTGAGCTTCTGTACTGGCCCAAATCCTTTCCTGAGTGCACAGGCCAGGCCAGGCCAGGCCGGAGGCAGGCAAGGTGTGGTTTCATGAGGCAGACTACCAGCTAGAATGCAAGAGAAAACAGGTCTGTTTATGTCTAGCAGTCTCAGCAAAGAATCCTTCTTATATTTAATACTTGAAGATTTACCTGGCATTGCTCTGGTCCTTAACTCAATTAATTTTTGTTTTCCTTCGTTTCAGTCATTGCTCTGGTGTGGGGCTGGGGATGAGGGGTTCAGTATGCAGGCTACCCCAGGGAGAGAGGACAACTCCAGCCTTCTCTCACTGCAGCAGCTTGGGGCCAGATGAGAAATGCCTCTCCATGGCAGCTGCAACTCCTGCAGGCAAAGGCAGGTGCATGTCCCCTGGCTGGGGGAGGTTCAGGTTTGTCTGCCCCCTGCACTCCTCAGTCAGAGTGAGGAATGCAGCAAACTGTGCACTTTCCCCCTTGATCTGTGACAAAGGGGAACAGCCAGCAATGTTCCTGTATGAATTGGGGGGGAGGAGCTTCAGCCCCACTTGTCCTCCTGAAGGGTGCCTAGGGGTGGGAGGCTCAGGGCTGGGGCAGTCCCAGATGGGCGTGGAGGAAGGCGTGCCTGGTAATTATCTGTCTCTTTTCTGTATGGTTGGATGAGAAGCAATCCCATTCTGGGCACATCCCATTTTCTTGGCACAACCAAACACTGACCTTGCTTTAAGTTCTGAAAAGAGGAAGCTGTATACCAAATTTGGTGGTCCTAACTCTTACCATTTAGGAGGAGTTCTTGAACAGAAAGACAGACAGACAAACTCTCTACGACATACAGTAGATGGCAGAGTCCCATCGCTTTTCTACAGTGAGGGATTCAATAGAGCCAATCTCTCCTCATGGCATAACGTAACCTTGCTTAAAAATAACAAGTCACATTGTATGGAGAGCTACGGACAGAAATCCTATTTCCCAATAAACTAAGTTCTCATTCTGTGCCAGCTTCTCTTACCTTTGTAGATAGTAACCTGGTCAAGTAGATTTCAGGTAGGACTTTTTTCCTATGGCTCTGTCTATGGGACTTCTTATGTTCAATCAGTTCATCGGTTGGAAGAACCTGAGTCAATGCAAAAAATGCTCATTAGATCTGCTTTTGGGATATCTTCTTTTTTTCAAAAACAGGCTTTTTTAAAGGGATGTTGCCAACACATAATTTATACATTAAACAAAACATTATGTATGCTGCTGAATACACAATTAGAGTGGTTAAAATTGAAGAAAACCTTACAGATCAAGCTGACATTTTGCTATTTATGCCTTTTATTTCTCTTAACTCGGATAATGACAATGAACAATCAATTTCATTTTGGTGTTTGGTCTGTTTCAATTCCTGAATTCCCCTCAGTACTGCTGTAATTTGGGATACCAGCAACACAAGGCCAGGCTTCCACTGAAAAGCAGGACATCTTAAAAAATGGGAAAAGCACAAAAACATCGTTTGTTTTTTTAATAAGTCCCGTGCGACGTTCAAAACAAAAATCTAATCGTTCCATTGCTCAGATCATTGAATTAGTGCCCTAGCGGGTCACCAATGTACCACTTCTGAGTATATTTTATGTGCCTTTTCACCCTCACTCTCTCTTCTCCCAGAGTGCTCTGTATTTTTTATTTGAGCATATGAATTTAGCATGGAAAGACATGAAGCTCATAAAATATTTCCTAATATTGAAATACCCATTTCCCCCTTATAACTTTTAAAAGTACATCATTTCAGACTGCCGTCTAAACATTAACTGGTAAATCCTCTCTATCCCACTGAAACGGGTGAGCAATAGCATTTATTTATTAAGTGGCGTGCCCAAGGCTTCACAGGGACTCAGTAGCAAAGCTGGGATTAGGTGTCAGGCATTTCTCTCCTGGCTTCTGGCTCAGTCCATGCTGTTGTTCTGAACTCTCTAATGGTAGTGGGCAGCTAAAGCAGGCTACAGAAGATCTCTGCTCCACTGCCATGATGGTAAGACTGTCGCATAAGCAGCCTCTCTACCCCTCCACTGATTTCTCTGAAGGGGAGGTATCATGGGGAACCACCATCGCATTGAATGTAGTGAAAAGAGTTTCCTCTGCCACTGTCTCTATCACAGATAGTACTTCAGCCCCATGGAACTGGATTACGTTCACATAATCAAGGCTGAAAGAAGATTCTCTCCTCTTTCATCATGTACATGGAAAGACCTGGGTCCAAAAGCAGAAATATCATAATAATATAGTCACATGGGAAATGATTCTCCTCCCCTATCAGAATTTCCTACCATTGGAAATTACCTATCCCTACTTTGGAATGTAACTCTTTGGGTCAGATCTTAGCTGGCGTCCACTGAAACAGCTCCATCAATATCACTGTAACTGAACTGATTTAGGCCAGATGAAGATCTCTTGCTATAACAATTTATGATCGGGCAACAGAACTGAACAGTTGGAATCATTCTGTATGGCAGAAACGACTTCCTTGTAAAGATTAAGTTGATAGGCTTGCAGGGAACTCTGTTTTTTGAAAGATCCCCAACTAGCAGGGTTTTGCTTTTCCTGTATCAGTTAATTGGCAGCCATCAGAAAGGTGAAATATGTTTGAGACTATGATCAAGATTAAGATGAAAACTGAACTCTCTCTGCCAAACATACCGTATGTTCAAGTATGACTTTCTTACACAAACAATGTAGTAATCACAAGGGGTTCAGCCAACCCCCTGGGCAGGTCTGATCACTGGCCAACAAGCTAGCGGGGTGACAAATGCATCTGCCTGCATTTACTGTACATATGGAACGCATTGCTAGCTTTGCCTTTGACACACACACACACACACACAAACCCTCTGCACAGCATTACTGCCCTTGGAGTGCACATTAATACATTGCTGCAAGGCAGACTCATTCCATAATAATTGTGCATTGCAAATTCCATTGGGCCAGGCCTCCTTCCCACCCACCACACTTCTCTAAGTAATTCTTTTCCCAGCCACAAGACAGGGCTCCAGGGAAGTTGTTGTTGGGATTTGCATGCACTGATTGTCTTTTCCTTAAGTGATCAGTAACTCCTTGCTCAGACAATTTCCTGGTGAGACAGTCTAGTTCTCAAATAGACATTTCCTATAAAGGAAATAGGAGATGGGAGAGAACAGGTGAAGTAACTTCTCGGAGACACCCTTGGCCACACACAAGTCATTTGCTTTGATTGCTTTTGGAATGGGATACTTACTAAATGAAAGTACTTTTCAGTATCCAAGTCCTTCACTAGAAAACATAAAGAAAAACAGATTAGCTAAGTTTGTCATATTGCAGCCCAGACAACTTCATTCAGCATCATTTAATGGAAAAGTTCGGATATATGGATGTTGTATTTTGGGGGAGGAGCAGCAAAGACAACACTTAGTGATGCCTCTATGAGGCACTTTAGCATTCCTGATAGGGTCTCTGTAATGTTGGTATTTAACCCATTTGACAGATGGGGAAACTGAGGTAGAAAGGCACAGTAACTTGCCTGAAGACAGTGTCAGAACCAGCATTATAACTTTTGAGTTGTTAAGTTATAGACTCATAGTCTCATAGACTTTAAGGTCAGAAGGGACCATTTCGATTATCTAGTCTGGCCCCCTCCACAATGCAGGCCACAGAATCTCACCCACTGTAGACAGACCATCTGAGTGGCTGGCATCTGGAAGGGAGGGCTGTTGCTTCAGCTGCTCTCTAAACTTGCTCTTGCATTACAGTGCAACATTTTTCCTCCACTCCAACCAATACAACCTTCTTCCCTGCTCCAAACAGTGTAAATGATCTTCAACATACTTGTGGCTTAAAGTGCTCTCAAAGGCAAATGACAGTGGGACTGTGCCATTTTTAATTGTTAACCAGGCATGAAGGCCTGAACAAATTGGCAGCTTTTAAACTTTATTTTTGATTCTTTCTTCATATGAAATTCTTGTCTACCCTGCCTTTGCTGAATGACTCTCTGCAGCACCTGAGAACTAGAGAGATGCTGGCATTAACGGTATGTCTACAGAGAAGCGTTATTTTGGAATAACTACCGTTATTCTGAAATAACAAAAGAGCATGTCTACACTACAAGCCCTTATTTCAACATAATGTTGAGCTGGAGGACTTCTCACTCTGACTCTTGGTAACCCTCATTGCATGAGGAGTAAGGGAAGTCAAAGGAAGAGTTTTCTTCCTTCTACTTCCTGTTGTGTAGACAGCGCCAAAAGTCAAAATAAGTTATTTCAACTTAAGCTATGCAACTGATGTAGCTGAAGTTGTGTAGCTTATTCCAACTTTAGCCCTGCTGTGTAGATGTACCCTAGAAGAGACTGACCCTGAATAATTGAGAGGGGAGGGGATCTTGGATTAGAAAGTATCAAAATAACGTGCTATTTTGAGACATCCCTTAACCCTCATGGAATGAGGTTTACTGGGATGCCTAAATAGTACACCCGTTATTTCGAAAAAAAATTTAAATAATGGGTGGCTTATGTAGACAAGGGGTAGCTATTTTATAGCCAAAAGGACACAAAATCAATTGTTTTTCCTTTTCAAAGTGACCTATAAAACATTTAGTGTTGGAATGAAAATTCTGGAAATTCATTTCAAGATGTCAAAGTGACACACAAGGATCAACCATAAAACCTTGGTATACCACACAAACACCACTCAGACAGCTAAAAGCTCTTCTCGCCTGTGCCCGATGTGAAGCTTTCAGCAGAAATTGGGAACTGGGCTGACACAACACTGAACAGCAGCCATTCAAGCACAAAGAGTGACAAATGGGCCTATTCAGCAGCATTGATGGAAATGACCTCATGCCGTCCCGCCTGATGACCAACGTATTATTCCTATTATATTCTCAGCAGTCTCTGGTCCTGGTCGTCCCCCACCCAGCTGTGCCAAAATACTGCAGAAACACTGCTCCCAGCTCTTTGAATCCCCTCCCCCTTTTTTGTTCAGACTGTTGGCCGCCACACAGAGAATGTCATGCACTGCAGTCAATAGAGCACTAAGTGTTTCTGCTCTGTCCTTCTGTCTCTTTGTCTAGCCATCAATTCTTGCTGAGGGTGCTGCTCCATTCATATATAAATGGCAGGATTCAGCCACACACGGTCATATAGTATAAGCATTCTGTGACCAGCTGAAGACATTTGGGACTTGTTGTATCCCCGTAGCAAAGAATCCAATGGAAAAGAGGGAGTGTTTAAGAGCTGATTGTTCGTTCTATAAACATTTGCCATAATTCCATGGGTGCGTCTTCATTGAATGTTAGGCACAGTTTAATAACATGGCCCCACTGGGCAAAGACAAGCTTTCCTGGAAGACCAACTGGAAATCCTGCCCAAGATCTGATTGTTTCCAAAGGATACAATGAGCTATTCTATTATCAAAGGCTCACTTAGAAGTAGCCAGGGCACTGCCTAGCAAAGCTGAGATTGCACTACAACGGTGGGGTCAAATCTTAAGTTTTTACTCCCACTGAGGTTCCCCCTAGGCTCTGGGTCCCAATGGGAATCACAGCTCAACAGCCTGCCATGTTGTGCAGAAAAGAGACATATGAAGCTGAAATTGAGGACAACCAGCACTGGGGCTGCAGGCATCTCAGAAATATCCGCCCTGTGTACTGATGGGACCTGCCCATGTGTTTACAGCATTCCCAGGCACAGAGGAGGTGTATCATAAGCTGAAGTTGATTATCCTCACTGCTTGAATGCTTGATGCATTTCTGGGAATGACACTCCAGGAATGAAGGGAACTACAGTATTCTTCTACCCAACCATGAAAGGGTTAACCCCACACTCAGTGAGAGGTCTGAAATGCAGTCTGCAGGCTCTCTGCATCTCTTCTCCCAGCTCTAAAAATAAAGGTCACCTGTGCAATGACTGTGAAAGAGACAGAAAAGCAAATTACCTCGACTTAGTGTGTTGTCCTTCTTATCCGACAAGCTCATTGCCAGAGAGGCACCTTCAGGAATCTGAGGGGGACGAGAAGAACAAAGGAAAGGGATGTTCAGGAAGGCTTGGATCTACAGCTAAGTCACCTAGCTCTGTACCTGGGGTCGCCTTGTCCTGCTAACGCAGGAGTGTCTGAGTAGCAAACATTAACTGCCACACTCAAAATGGCAACCTTGCAGAAAAAATGCCCCAATGTTAGCCCAAGATTTAAATGCCTAACTCCCAATATCTCAATGACATCAACAGGAGTCAGGCAGGCACCTAAACAATGTTCCCTCTAGCTTTTCCCAAGTGCAGAATACATTTTATGATGTGCACTGAGGCATGTTCAAATGTGCACCATGCATGCTGTTGGCTGTGGGAACTCTGCTAATCAGATGGGCAGCACCTGACTCTCTTCTGGGCAGCTGCCCAAGTACTCAGCTTACAGGGAACACTAGACCTACTGCACCTTTGAGTATCTGGTCCCTAGTGACTAATTACACAAATGCATGCCACTTTTACAGGAAGGACCATACTTCATTTCTTTCTTAAGGCTAAGAAGATTTATGGGAGTATGTACTTCGCTAGGACCCAGAAGAATTTCCTCTTGATGGCTCAATGGTTAATGTGCTAACTTCGGACTTGTGTCCAATTCTCTGCTCTGCCACCGGCCTCCTTTGCCTCAGTTTCCCATCTGAAAAATGGGGATAACAGTATGTTCCTTTTTCACTGAACACCTTAAAGACAGCAATGTGCTCCAATACTATTGCATTGGAGACCATATAAGTATCTCAGATACATAAATGGTTCCAGACATCATGGTGATGGGCACCTCAGATTTATGTATTAAAGTAACAACACATCAGATTATTCAAAAGAAAAGAAAATGACTTTTCACTTTTAGATTCTAAGGAAGAATGCCATCACATTTTGATTGTCAGTTCTTCGGGGCAGGGACAGCCATTTTGTTTTGTTTTTGTACAGCTTCTAACACCATAGGGGCCTGGTCTATGTGCTACCCCAGTAACAATAATGGTATTGTTTCAGTTTTGGTTTTCCATACACTGTGTTTTCCATGCATTCTGTTGCAAACCAGGACTGAAATAAAAAAATCCAATAAAAACTCCAGTTTTCATTTAATTCTAAAAGTTAAAAGAGGAAAGAAAATATCTCTGTTCAGATTCAGAATCACATGTATTGTACATTGGGCTTCAGTCCCCAGCCAGCATCACTTTAAGTGGAATGCTCGGTTACAAAAACAAACAGCTCCTATTTGTGGGTCAGAGCCTGCTCTCAGGACAGTGATTGGCAACTCTGTCACCAATTTCAGTGGAAGCAGGGAATGGGAGTGCTATGATGTTAATCAGCATGGATGGTGGCCATTGGGAATAGGAGCCTTTTATATTGTCAGTAATAACTTGTTTTTCATGAAGAGCATTTAATTAATCTCAATGTGTTGCAATATTAATGAGTTTCTCGCCAGGGCAGATGTCTGTTCCCCGGAAGCTCTCATGGAGCTATGGCAACCTTCCTGCTTGTCTCTGTTAATCCTTCTTGGAAAGGGAATGTCCCTGAGGACAGACTGGCTGGAAGGAAAGGAAACCCTTCTGTGAGCATTTGCAGTTTTACCTTGTAGTGGGCTAAAGTGTTGAGCTTCTTTCTGCCATCCTCCACCACTGAAGTGTCATCGAGGTCCCGCAGGACGTAGCTGTCTGTGCTTGTGGCAAACCATTCTAAATACAGAGTAGGGAGTTAATGCAAAGCCAGCCTGAGCAGGACACGTGCAATTTGTGCTGACATGCTACATTCAGTGTAGAGAACAGGTGTTTGGAGGTTTGGGGGCTCTGCTGTGCCATGTGATTGGAACACAGATGCTTCTCACAAGCCTGCAGAAGGAAAACTTTCAGGACTAACTGGAGAAGCAGGAAGTGCAATGTCCTGGTTTAAGGCCAAGAGTATGAACTGGGGCTGAGCCCACACTGGACTGTATGGTGTTGAGAAGGTGCAGAGGTTTCTGACCATATCCCCAGGTGCTCAAAGACACTTCAAGTGTGTGCCTCTATCAGTCCCTATTTGGCAAACATTCTGCACTGCACACAGTATTCTGACCCGCCCCCTGCAGTGCACAAGAGGGAAGGCTGTGTGGTATGGGCAGAGAATGGGAATTTCTATGGCTAGGCTTCATTTTACCAGATCCCAGGCCCCAAATGCCAGCCTGCATTAGCCAATGGAGAAAAAGCAACGATTTCCATTGCTTCTGCAGAATTGCCTGGAGACACGTACCAGGGTCATCAACTAGAGGTGAGCAGGGTGAGTGGCAGGATTGCTACTTGGTGCAGAGTTTCCTTTCTGAATGGGCATTGCTTCGCATGGTGCGTGTCACCCCTCCTTGGAAAGAAAATGTCCCTCAGGAGGGACGATCAGTGACACTGAATTCCAGTGGCCTTGTAATCTCCTCCTTCATTCTCCCCTCACTGAGCGCACTGGCTCAATATGGCCACAGCACCATTCCAAGTCAATCGGGAGGGGGAACTGGGACAGGCCTAGGCCAACGATTAACAAAGAGCTGATCAGGGCACAGCTGTTTCCTAACTTTCCCCTTCATTGTTAGGGCCTGGCTCACACCTGACTCCCCAGAAAAAGAGATGGCCTGTAGGAAGAGTAAGGAAATGTCTGAGCCTATGCCCGGACTGGTGTCCATGGGCATATTCAGAGGTGCCACTGAGGTGGTGAATGTTACCCATTAGTATGCAGATACAAGTGTCTGTAATTAAGTGAAAAGCAGCCTAAGCTGGGCTGAGCAATACACACAGGGACCAGAAGACAGGAGGGCAGGGTTTAAGAAGGTGCAAGTTAAAGTACCTCTCCTCTGTCCTAGGCTTTTCTCCTGCCTACTTGCTGTGTATGTACCACCACCTTAACTGTCCTCACTCCCTAACGTACAGCACCGCACTTTAGTCACACCAATTGGAATCTGGCCCTCTGCGTGCTTCCCAGGGATCACTGTTCCCAAGAACTGGCTCTACCCTCTCTGGGCATGGCCCCTGTCCCTCCCCCGATCCCAGAGCAGACAGCTGCTCTTCCTGACTGCGGGCACCACGCTGTGCACAGCGAACTCCTTCAAATCAAGACTGGTATTTCTCAAGGAAAAGGTGTCTTTACCAAGGTCGACATCTTCTACTCTTGGCCACTGGGAGTACGGGACATTCTTGCAAAAAGCTTCAAGGATCTTCTCTTTAACTTGACTAAGAGTGTCTGTGTCCATGACCCGAACACTCAGGGAGTCCATGCCGCAGCCTTGGAAAGACACATTGAGGTTCTGTGGGGAGAGGCAGAGTTAGGGTTGGGGTGATCCCCAGGATGGGGATGTTTCACAATGGTCTGCTGGTTCCCAAGGACAGAGGGAGGTTGCAGAGCACATACAGTTTTTACTGGTACATTCCATACATCGTGCTCTAGAAATTCCACTGAACAAAACCTCTGTCTGAGTCTCAGTGCTGGTGAAAGATGCTGATTTACAGCCTTGGAAACTGAGGGCCCCTATTCATTCACAGAGCTGGGGGTACATGAGGAGCAAAGCTTCCTCCACCCTGCCCTGCTAAAGGGCTTAGCCTTGCCCTGCAGGGACCACCTCTAAGGGCGAGAAGAGCATTCAGTGTCGGTGGTGCACTTATGTCCTTGGATCCTCCACTGAGACGGGAGACAGTCAATTCCCATTGTTGTGGCTTCCCCCAATGCTATGAATGGAATCCCTCAGCTGCATAAAGGTTTTGTTGTATCAGACGTTGAGCCAAGTTCAGTAGTGGGGTAAGTGGAGGCACTGACATGGGAGTCGATGACGCTGCACTACCTTGTGGAAAGGGTAAATTGGCCCATTGTGCATGACATTGAGAAAACTGTCACATCAGGACAACAAAAGTGACGTCTCTCTTCTGGGAGAACAGGACAGTGTGGAGAAAATCCTGCCCTCCTCTGTTTGGGGAAGCTACCAACCGAGTCAAAGGAAGAGCAACAAAGCTCAGGTTCTGAGTGTCCGGTCACATCACTCCTCCCAACACAAGGCGGACTGATCCAGTGTTGCAATTCCAACCCCACTTCTCAGTCAATACTGCTTCAGGCTTCCCCCTCCCCCACCAGCTTGATTCCAAATGATCTTTGGCATCACCTTCCATTCTGCACCCACACTTTTACGGGTGTTGTTTTTGTGCCTCTGTTAGCAGCAGGCCAGCTTAAAATCACCATTAAGAATTACAATTGGAAATCTCACAGGAGCCTAATGGAGTTAGGTGGCCGGCTTCTTTTGGCTCCTTTGCAAGTCTCAGCCTAATGTGTCAATGGAAGCATGCATGCCAAGAGTGCACGGGGAAGAGAATGCTATACATGTACACAAAGGGAAAATGTTGTCAAAGGGAAAACGTTGTCCCTGGAATTTAATGACAGGTCATTGTTTTATTCAAGGCGGACTGTGCAGTCAGCTTTCAAATCAGCCTCCATTGTCATCTATTTGGGGGCTTAACAGAGAGTGTGAACTAATCCAGGGCCTACTCTGCTTCCAGCTGCCTATTTTGCTCTGGCTTATTTCTGTTGCTTGAAAGCAAAGGATCAGCAGCACTTCCCCACTTAAAGTCATGAAGTTACTTCCACTGCTGAGAAAGTTAATAGCTAGAGACCTGCTGCTAATCCTACTTAGTCTGTGCAGTGAATTACAGGTCAATTGGTAAAAGGAATCTGCAAAAGATGCAGCTAAGGATATTGGGTCAAAACCTGGTGTACATCTGGAGTAGAATCACTTATTTTAGTGGAGCTGCTCCAAGTTTCCTGCAGTAATATCAAAAGCAGAATTTGAACCAGGCTCTGGATAGGCCTGTCTATTGCATTCTGTCAGAGACTGATGGTAACAAAGTCCCTTTGAATTCAGATTGTATTTTAGTCTTTTTCATTTAGGCATTGTACAAAATTATTTT